TCGGTTGTCTGGATTTCTCTCGTTCCAAGAAGCACTCGTAAATCGATTTCTGCTGTGGACCAGTTGCCTTGTGTCCGCTCGAACAGCGCGGTTCCTTCATTTCATTGGTGTTACGAATTGGTTTCAGCGTTACAGAAGCAGAACAAGACCCCATCACATTATCATCAAAGCAGTGACGCGGCAGGGCGCGCCGGTCGCCCCGACACATTTCAGGGTGCATCGCAGCGTCATGTGAACTGATTGTGGAACAGATGATTTCCCTGGACAAGGGGGTAGCTTCCCCACTTAAACAGTTAGAATGCTCATGTATATACTTCCCACAAAAGACAGTGTATGGGAAATAAGGTAAGGTAGAGCTACCCCTGTAACAGACCGTGGAGGTCCATAGAATTGTGTCGACCCCAAGACCATAGTGCGGCTGGAAGGAAAGATTAGTCAATTGAAAAATCCAATGACCCCATCGGGAATCGAACACACTACCTTCCGACGTATAGCATAGTTATTGAACCAACTACAACAGTCAACTGAATTTCTAATTTCTCTTACGCAAGCTACAAGTTCCTTCCGTCTTACCACTCTTAGGTTAATCAGCAACTTCGTGTTCCTATATCTTGCACTCACTCAGGCACTGGTTTCGCACTCGGGCAGCCCGTCAGTGAGGGTACACAGACGTGACTCCTTCGCTCAGTTTTGTGTTGTCAGGCGACCATAACAGGGTTGTAGTGCAAACGAGAAGGCGCCGCGGCGCTAGCAGATTCCCGTAAGAAATGGGCAGTGTTATTGTTTCCGTGCAGTTTACTTTGTGAGATGCGGGTCCTGAGATGTTAGTTACGTGTAAAAACGTTTAAATGTTTATTCTCTCTACTGAGAGACGCCAAACAGAAGCATACATTCGTGTTAAGTGGGCAGCGGCCCACGGTAAACTCCGCCTCCAACGCCACCTGCTTCACTGTTCCCGGCGCTATTGCGGCCTCATTACTGTAATGACGCGGAACGCCTTGTTATTTGCTACCACTCATCTCATTCTTAGGACGCCAACGTACAAGTCACTATGATTAATGATGTACTCTGTCAAACAGGCGATTCAGCCAGCAGCATATGATTTGATAATGGAGACAAGTTTATACGTATTTAGGATTTGATCCAATTACACGCCTGCGCGGGCCGCTCGCTACAAGGCCAGTGGCATTGGGCCTGCATAGCACGGAGAGGAAACGGGACCCGTCTTCGGACAGAGGGCGCTCGGGAGGAGTTGCAAGATACATTTAATTGTGTGGCGCAACAATATCGTGCAAATCGACCGGTCTGTAACCCTTATCGAGTTTATAGTCACCATGACGATGACTTGGAAAGGATATGGAAGGATGTGTTTGTGGCTCAACCAAGGTACTGTCTCGCAGTTTGCCTGGAGAGACTGAGGAAAATAACGAAAAGCCTTTGCCAGGTTAGCCGGTGTCACGGACGAGATTCGAACCGAACACCTCCCGAATAGAAGTCTTGAGAACAATGCAGTTAAACCAAACCGTGGAACTGTTTTGATGTACGACTTGGCACTTGGTGCGGTGGGTATGCAGTTATTTTCTGGAAGTTGGTCATTTAACGAGAAAACCCGCCCCAGAGAAATTCCACATGAGCTGACCTGGTATCGAGCCCGGGCCACCGTAATGTGAAACCAGTGACTAACCGCCTGAGCTAGATAGATACAGGATGTCATCAAGCACAAAGGAAACAAGTCTGGGGCTGCAGCCTAACGGACCGGGCTCACGCTTAATCCAGATGTCGGATAATCCGGATCGAAATATGGAGCTGCTGTTTACAGCTGAGTACACATGCCGTTCGGGAAGGCAGACAAAACTCGAGACAGTTTCTTCAGACCTGCATGATTACGTTCAAAAACAAGTACAATTTCTGGGTCTTCTATCGATGAATAAATGTATTGTCTTTCTATCATTTTTAAATGAAGGCTGTACAGTGATATTTTTTATTTATATTCATCAGCACTGCTTATATAGTTTTTTCCCCCTTGGCACTACAGCCCCAGTGGGCCTAGGCCTACCTCCATGAACTTCTCCGTTCACTTCGGTTTTTCTAGACCTTACACATTCGGTAGGACTCCTTGGGCGGGTGATAAGCTCGTCGCAAGGCCTCTACCTGTACACAAACACAGAAAAACGCACACACACAAACTAAACATCCATGCCCTGAGTGGGATTCGAACCCACGATCCCGGTTTCCAAGCGAGCGAAGAAAGTACATGCCTTAGACCGCTCGTCTACCGTGACCGGCGCTTATATGATTAAAGTTTCTATTTGAAGAAAGTTGTCCTCTGGGTTTAGGCACCGTGTATTCTTCGTTTTGGCCGACGTTTCGGAGGAACGTAGCGCCTCCATCTTCAGAGCAGTTGAATAGCTGCGGAGANTTTTTTTTTTTGCATTTTAGAGCTAATTTTTGCTTCATTAATCCGGATGATCTCTGCCCCAAATTAACCCGGATTAGCAAGGGGTTACTGTACTGGTAACATTTTCAGATTGTATTTTTTGGAAACGAACAGATGTTGTGTTTGTCACGAACTTTCGCGGATCTTACGGAATTCATGACGAGGCTTCTTTCTGGCCTCCGTTCATACTTGTAATACTGTGTAGTATAGACGCGATTAAAAGAAAACGAACGGGCCGAGTGGTACAAGTTGTAGACATTCTGCTGCTGTTGTGGAACGGCCAGTTATTCTCCCAGCTGCGCTTGTCCACATGTAGCGATCTGTCTCCTATAGATTTAGCAAGGTTTGTGGCCTATTAACGTCCGTTTCCACCGGATGTTCGTCCTTGATTGAGCCACTGCCGTGAGTGCAAATAATGACGCTCCTGCATCGGTATTCTACTCAATTTTCGTGTTAAATCGCCCCTCCTGGTTCCAGGTCATCTCAGCGCGTCAGTTTGAAGCGTCCTCCGTGACGAAGCAAAAGGAGGAAATGAAGTCCGTTTCTCTGGGTTCAAAGTCAACTCATCCGAATATAGCTAATGTCTTGCGGGAGGTGAAAACCAACGGAGCCGACCTTCTGCGTGTAAATGCTTCCGCAAGCCGCTGCGTGTTCTGAAACATTAAAAAGAAAACAGAAGAGGATCCGTTAATGAACTGGGAGGAATTTTACGGTATCAGTTCCGATCCAGAAAGTTTAAAGTCTAGCGACGTGGGCCCTTGATTAGACCTGGAGACAGTGAAACAGTCTCAGCTTTTGCGAAAATTGATTCACGCCTCTTGTCCCTTTGCTCACAAACAAAATGCCTGTAGCGTTACATCTGAACGTACGACCCCTGAGCCTATGCTTCTGCAGCTGTAATACCACGACCCGGCAACCTAGCTTAGCGCTCAGTGTTCCATAGCGTTGCCCGAACTCCTTCGGAGTGCTGGCTGCGCGGGCTTCATTAAGTGTTCGCCACAGCTGGGTGCTCCAAAAACAGGGGCCCTTCGCTAACGATCCTACAACAAAATGAAGATTTTCTCGATAACGGTTCTAACGATTTTTAATTAATTTCGGAACGACTCCCTTAAGAGAAGTGCGTAGGAAAGCAACGGTAGGCGCACTACGAAGGGCCACTACCTCTCCTAGCTTGCTAGGTCAGCCAGCCTATCTGGGACCGAACATCACTCTTTTAGTACTCACAGACACTTGCGGGTTTCTTGATGTGGGGCGCCCTGTCTGTCGTCAGGACAGATCTGTCGTTTACAATTGCTGCTGGTCCTCGTGAGCGCAGTCATTCTCGGGTCTGAAAACCACGGGACTCAATTATCATATTTTTACTGGGTCAGATTCGAGACCCCCCCCCAACCTGGGGGCCAGGTCCCCATATCCCCCAGAAACAGAGTGGCCCAGTTATACCCTCAGGAACTGGGTTCCTTTTCGTCGCCTCATACGACTCTCAGGGCTACGGTGGAGGTATTCGTACCCGCCTCCACGCATGGGGATGGTTTGCTTGCTTCCGTTTCCAGTGTAAGGCCAGTCGCATATTATAAACGGCTTCACTGGTTGGAAGGATTTCTTTGTTGTCCCCTATACATAGCCAGCAATGGTCCACAGAGCAACAATCGCATGTCTTTGCGCCGAATTATTTAAAATGGGTCACGACCGCTGTCACATCTTTCTCTCTTCATCGTGCAAGATAATAACAATAATAATAATAATATGACTCATAGAGTGGGCAGCGTTCCGTTTCCTTCTTGTGGCTCGAGCACTGCAGTGAGGAACTGCGCCTCTTTCCACGTTGGGTACACTTCAACAGCAAGTTGCTTGTTCTTATGGTTCCGAATTCATAATCACCAGCTTTGGTGACGTCTGCATCCTTAACATCGATTTCCAAGCTGCACTTAAGTCCTCAAGTGGTTTACTCTTCACCACGCATTTTCCGCTGTCTTGGGATTAAACAGTTGAGAGAGGGCGTGCACACGGCCCGCGCATGGCGTGTAACTTATCGTGCAGAGTTCGCTTAAATATCATCTCAAAATTCGTGACTACCTCACAGAAAACATTTTGTGTCCCCATTTCGAAGGCCAACAGGAAAATGCTCTTTACGGAGATGATTGATATGTGCTATTTTAAGAACCATATGAAACACGCAAATACAATGTGTGGGCATAATGCAGAGCTTGTGGAATAGGCGGTAAATATAGTTACCACCGTGACCCTCCCTCCCGAACACGCCCATCACCCTCTTCCCCCCCCCCCTCGCAATCCCGCACCGGTCATCCAATTCTGCTCCGCTCGTTACACCTGTGAAATAATGACTTCCCCCTCCGCGCGCATCGCAACAATGACACTGCAGTACCCCACTCCACCCCCCTCTCAGCGGACTGTATTTTGACACGTTTTTACCCTTTCTTACTTGGCATTCAGTAAGAAACTCCACCTCAAGTACCTCCCCTTTGCGAATTTATCGTGCCAGTATTTAAAGTTCAAACCAGGTCCCAGTTCGGGCCAAAAGTCGCTCTGTTTTTGGGCAGTGTGGAGTGGATGTGTTTGCCCGTTCGTGTGTTTGGCACCGTGGCAGAACCAGGGAAAGAAAATATCGTATTTTGCAGATCCATGTAAGTTATTCACATGCGTTCACACTATCCCAACGCGAATGTAAAACTACGTAAGTTATTAACATCGAGTAATAATGAATGCAGTTGATGGGTTGGGAAATGGAATGGCTACAGGTTTAAAATACGGAGTAATACAACGATCGGTCTCGGTGACGTCCGCGCCTCGAAGAGGAGAGGAATTGCGATGTTGCTATTATTGTGGGCATGCAGATCTACGTACCAAGACAGAAATCACTCTTCTCATTCCAACCATATTCTGCAGGCATCTCTATATGCACTTGATGGCAGGTTAACCTGCCGTCAGTGAGACGTTAAGATTTACAGCGTGTTTCGGCCCTTGGGGCGTCATCGCCTTTGACTTTTGTGCTCCTTTCCCTGCATTCGCCAGTGTTTACATCTGGGTGTATTTTGTGTCGGCCATTTGTATATCAGTGCAATGTCCCTGTGCTCGTTACAGTTGTAATGTTAAGATACTGAAATATCAAAAGCATCAAAATGCCGAATATGGAAATGATATCTCGTATTAGTTAAGACGTCCCAGTTATTGTTGATGAATCTAAGGATGTGTAGCGCTGTTGGAATTGTCGTTATGAGTATTTTGGGGCTTCCTTTTCCGATGCGATGTTATATCGGCCAGTGCAAGGTGTTTTATCGTATCATATTTATTAAATGCTTCACTACCGCATGTGGACACACGGTTGGAAATTTGTAATGTATTTTATAGTTTAGGATTTGAGGTTCTTACAGCGGCGTTTGCGAAGAGTTTTGTTCTGGGATACAACGCCGCGTAGTCCGTTAAAATCAACCAACATTTCGGAGAAAAATGTCTCCTCCATCTTCAGGGTTGAAGTTTGTACATGCTTCTCGCTGGTTTCTTCACTTAGGTTGTTCCTCGAAGATGGATGTTATGTTCCTCCGAAACGTCCGTTTTTCAACGTTCTACACGGTGTTATATCGCAGAAGATAGATTCCGTTATTTTCTATTGTGTTCGATCTGTAGTACAGGCTAAGTTCTGGTACGCAACACAGATTTGCGCTTCGTGTTTATGCCGCTCTCACTACAAGCACGGACAGCAAACTAGCGCAGGACGCGGTATCCTGTTTTTGTGCCAAATCCAATTCCATTTTGGACGTTTCATGAAAAATCCTGCGAAACGAAACATCCACAACCCGAAAAGAACTCGAAGTTCTTGGTGTCCAGGGTCTTCAATTCAGAATTGTTTTTGGTTATGTATTCTAACAAACATTCCTTTGGACTGCTTCATTCTCAATTGTTTTCTTCTTTTCGAGTACGAAGTAGCGTCAATGATGCGTCTCCCGCGTCTGGACGCGAGTTCTGTCAGTAGTTTCCGCGTGTAATATGATGTTGCCTTCCGACTCCCACCTCCCAGAGTTCTTCACCAGAAAGTTCTGTTTACAGAGAGCGTCATCCCTGCTGGCCATGCTCGCGACGATTGGTGGTGATACAGATATGCTCACTGCGATTTTCCCATATTTTAGGGGCATGTAAGGAAAGCAGCATGAAGGGTCTCGAGTCCATTTGTGAGGTACTGATACTGACATTTTGGGATATTTATTTTCCGCCTCACACCAAGGAACATAGGAGATGGACACTGAGCCAGATGAATCCAGACCACGCTCTCCAACTTTATTTTTTCAAAATGTTTTGTAATACACATTTAATATTATTATATTTAAGCATCCTGTTGCACTCCATACGATAAATGATATAATGATACAAACTCCGTCCCAAGTGCAAACAATATATTATGTGTCCTTGATCTTGTTCACCTACGCTACATGTTTCGGCCTCAGACGGGCATCATCAGGTGTATAACACTCACGTAGTAAAGTACACGTAGTAAAGAATAGCAGCGGCACGCACACAGGAAGACTACACAGGATAACGCCTATACAGTGTGGAAACAAGAACTAGCCGCTGCAGCACTTTAGACATAGGGCGAGTAACCCTAACAATTTTAAATTTAAAATTTAGAGAAAAAAAAATTTAAAAGATTTTAAAATTAGAACTAAAGATTTTATAGTGCTACTACAGGAAAGTCAAAATTAACGTGTGTAAAATAATCTACAAACCAGACAGATATCAACGAAGTAGATGTTGATAATAACAAGGAAAGTGTTTTAAATGTTAAATTTTGGGCTGGGTGCAGTGTGACAGCAACGTGAGTGTTATACACCTGATGATGGCCGTCTGAGGCCGAAACATGTAGTGTAGGTGAACAAGATCAAGGACACATAATATATTGTTTGCACTTGGGACGGAATATCATTTAACATATTTGATATATGATAGATGCAAGCTTTCAGAATTTCCGGCTAAATTTTCTTTGCATTTCTTATCTCTTCAGTTTGCGTTACGTGTTCATTACATTTCGCCGCCCGTGATTGATCACGATAACCAGGTATGGACAGGAGTGCATATTATGAAGCTCCTCATTATGCAAAGCTGCAACGATTCGGCGACATAATCTTAATTGGCACGATGGAAACTAAAACCTTGTTTCGAAATATAGGCGTCATGACGTCAGGGCATGGGGTTTGCAGCCCCTGAAATGAGCCCAAAATAAGTAGGTGGGGTATAGAGGGAATCAGACTGTGTTTATACTTTGTCTTACTAAAGCCAGCCTTACAGCGAATTCTGTCTGACGTAGCAAAATTCTGGCATCTTCTGGTAAGAAAATGTACGTGTATGTTAGTGTTTAGTTCAGTGAACACTGAGCACACAAGAGGTTTGCATTTGGAATGAGCACTGACTCACGTCAGAGCTGTCTGTATTTTCCTTTTTCCCAAGAAAACGCGAAACAGCGCCCGCCCCTCTAAACACAAGAAATCCAGAGGAGTTCAGAAATGCATACAGAATATTGGTCGGGAAACGTGAAAGAAAGAGACCACGTGGGAGAGACGAAGTCTAAACGGGGTGTATTTTGGGAAGTAGTGTGTGTGAGATGGTGTGAAATGGATTAATGTGGCTCAGAATAGGGTCCTATGGCGTGTTCTGAACACGGTAATATACATTCGGGTTTTATTAAATGAGATTTTTTTGACCTGGTGAGCGACTGTCAGTTGATCAACAAATTGTTACATAAGCTGGAATGCGGCTGGCTCCTGGTGTCTCACATAGGAGCTCGGTGTCGAGTATATGGGCACACCCGGCAGTTGGACGCCGTTACTGACCCGCGCAATACTAGCCCATGAAGCAGCTGAGCATTTTCATTTTTGCTGCTTTTACATGACTTTAAAGAAAATAGACTTCAGAACTACCCAGCCTGTTTGTTTGGACATTTGCAACTATCCGCTTCTGAACAGGATTCAAACTACGACAGATTTCTATCAAACTCGGTAGAATTGACCTCTGAAGGCCGAAAATGGACATTTTGCTTCTGGCAGATGCTGGTCAACTCTGTGCTGGCGTGTAAGTTTCGTTTGCAGCAGTTCGTTTCAAGTTTCAGATCAAGGATGGGAGCTTCACACAGTGGAAGGTCACATGAGTCAATACGAGCGACTGGCGCTTTATGGGCACGGGAAGTGAGACGCCAGTATGTTTGGCTCGGACGCCCGCTCGGACGCATCCCTGCCACTTTGTTCCTTCGTCCATTGTGCTTGTGCAACAAGAACAACGGACTCTGCAGTCCTCGGAGAACCTGACAGGATTCGTGTTCTGGTCTGCAACCCAGCTCACTGTTTCAAATCAATGGACCAAGTTGTGTGACGCCAAGCACTTAGTCACAGATCATATCTGTGAGGTAATGGCGGAAATAAATCGTGTTCTGCGACATTAGAGCGCCATTTGACAGCATGTGAGCACAGCACAGTGGTCCTCTGACGTAGAAGTGGCGCGGTATCTTTACCAGTTGGACTTGGCGCTGTATTTCGGCGCAAGTTCACCGATATCTCGCTTGCCTCGTGTTGATTGATTAATTGTATGGTTTACTCTTCAGCCATGAAGATGGGGACATTACGTCCCTCGTACTTCTGCCAGGCTACACGGCGTCAAATACCAGAAGATTATATTCTTCTGAGTTAATCTTACGTATATAAGATTTTGGGTTCGTTCATTCTGAGGATGGTGGATAACACTGGGAATTCCTGGGTGTGTGGACTGTGTCCATCGTCAGGTATTCTAGAAACTAGAGAACGTAACGTGTCTGCTTCCGTCCTCAGGTGAGGGGGTCCCTTACAAAGAGCTAACTTCAATCACAGGAGAACACGTCAGCATAACCACAGCTATCTGAATACCTGAGACCAGGCTTTGTCGAAGGGAGATAACAGGGCAATATGCAATAAAAATTGGATAAAGCATGCACAGACCTGAAACTAGAATTGCCACCTTCCTTTCTATCTTACTTTTGGTTCTGTGCACGCTTTATCACAATTTTTATTGCATATTTTCCTGTTATCTCCCTTCGAGAAAATCTGGTCTTAGGCATTACATAGCTGTGGGTGTGTTGAGAGTTCAAGGAGTCCTGCCGACTTTTTATGGGTTAAGAAACTTAAGAAGCGGCCAATGTCCACAAGGGCTGTAGAGCCAGAAATAGATAGTTATGTTGATATGGGTCTCCCCCGGTCTACTTTCCGAAAACCCAGTAATGCTATGTAGGTAACTGGAGACCGGAACTTCGGCATAAACATTACCAAATGTGACAAGTGAGGATCTGCCATAAGCGCTCGGCCCAACCCATTACCTTGCTTATTTATGATTTATTTAAGGACACCTTTATTAACAGCTGGGATTACGTAGTGGTGAACATTATGATGATTTTGTCCCTCGCTCCGAAGGCTTTGGTGAAATTATTCTCTAATGGAGAGTTCTAGGTTGTGGGATATAACGTCCTATAGTCCCTTGAAAGTCAGCCAACGTTTCGGACGGACATGTCGCCTTCATCTTCAGGGTTGAAGAGTAGGCCATGCAAGGAACCAGCATGAAGCAGGCAGCAAGTATGGCTTTGCAGAAGATGGGGCCACATATTCCTCCGAAACGTCGGTTGACTTTGAACAGACTGTACAGAACCTCAAATGTGTGGGTATGCTGGGAATACCGTTGCTGTTCACACCTGTCACCATTTTCAGTGTGTCATTAATCATCTGGTTCGCAATGATGTGTTAAGTTTGCTGTGTGCTACAGTCACGTGGTACCCGGACATGCTCTGTGCGCCTTGGAAACACTCGCCCGATGTTTCGTTTGGGCGCTGATCGTGAGGTTAGAACCAGATTTGGATGTGATTTCCATAAACCAGCGACGCGCGCATCCACAACATGTACATGTGAATGTTGCTGACCCGGTTTTTCGGGCTGAGAGTCAGAATTCGGAAGAACAATAAAATGACCTACGTATATTCATAATTTTGCGCCCAATCTACCCAGTATTACCATCCTCTGCCCATCTCCTAGTTTTCGTTTGTATCTGTCTTGCTTCCATTTCGTGGGTCGAAATCGCCATTTTGATTGAAACTGGCCATTTGCATAAGCATGAATCCCAGAGGGAAAGAGGCCCCGTCAGAACTTTGTTATTACGACAAATGTGAGGCACGACAACGCGCACGTGCCTCCAGTGCACAGCTAAGCATGACAAGCAATACTGTACAGTACCTGTTATTGGTTCGCCGATGCACTCATTCACGGTCTGAGAGCTCCCCCAGATATCTCATGAACTTTGCCCTGAATGATAGACTATATAACTCAGAATGTTACGAATTCTGATCGCTGTTGCGACTTATTGTGATCAAATTGGAGAGCTCCAGCCATTTGGCTCTGTACTTTCTGACGTACCGATAACGTTCTCGTTGCTGTATCGGATCACGTGATCCCATTATTCTGACAACAGTGTATTGCTTGCACAGCGCTGAAAGATTAAAATATGACGCGGGACGGAAAGAAGTGAGGATAACAGAGGATCTAAAAAAGATAAGTAAAATATACAGTAACTCTTCCATATTCATTACATTAGTTAACTTTACTTTTGTCTTCTTATTGTTGTGGAGTTCGTAGGCCTATCACGGGAGAAGAAAAGGAATTTCTTCCGAAATTTAAGTCAAGCGACCGTTCCAGCGTTGCCATTTTGAAACCCAACTTGGCCCCACACGTATGCATTATCTCTTAAAACAATTACGGACATAACAATAAACCCGGCCAACTGAACTGCTTATTACGCAATTCTTGTGGAAGCCATTTGTCACTGTCTAGTCAGATGCATCCAGCAACCTCTTGCGAGGCATAATATTTGGTAGAGCTTGACAGAACGGCAACTGCTTACTGCCTTTAAATAGGAAGGCTACCGTGCTGCTGATGAACAGTGTATGGAAGTATGAATTGCGGTGATCAGCATGCTTCATTGGGATTTGACGAACTTTGCTTCTGTGTGAATGTGATTTTGGCTGATGAGGTGATCATAGCCATGCTTGGCATATTGCTAGTCTTGACTGGGCTGTTCGGCCATACTTCTTCATCTTGCCAGTCTGTGACCCTTTTTGTGAACTGGTTACCGTCACGTTCCCTAAGGTCAGATTCTATGCAGCACGGCAGTGCTTACGTGTCGTGTGTGAACACTTGATGTGCTGAATTCCGAGACTCCAGTCTGCGTGCTTGCTACTCCTGCAGCAGAAGTCACTTTACTTATGTTCCCTTTGAAAATGTATTTTTTATTATTTTACACAAACTTTGAAGATGTCTGTGAATTTGATCAGCATGCGTATTATTCATTCTCCCATAATTTTTCAAAATTCGTATTCTTCTGTCCGTAATTCCTCGCATAATTATTTGCAAAGAAATTAATACACGCACATAAATCCTTAAAGACTCGTACAGTCGACTCCCATTCGGAATGTACTCCTTTCCAATCCTCTCCGAAGCGGTCCGTGGTTTTCCTTAGTCCTCTAAATTACACTTTTGATCGGCAGCAGTTCTCACGCTATGTCAGGTATGGCTATTTTGGTTCCTGTTTGATGTTTCAAGTAGAATATAGTAACGTTTGATGATGGCATTACGATGTCCATCGCGATCTGATGATGACCCCCCCCCCCTCGCGCAACCACAGTCATGGTTCCATCTCACCAGGTTGGTTATAGCTCCTCTTCTGAGTGAGGCACTATGCAGTGCGCCCTTATTTTGCTACAGCGAAACACCTTCCTTCCGGCAGTCAGCTTCATTCGGTTTTGGTTCGAGTATATGCTCCGTATGCAAGACAAGTGTCATTGATTGCTGAACTGTTCAGAGTCTCTGGGCTCTATGCTGCATGCACGTTATTTCAATCAGTGCTCACTTTCCTTTGCTTGCAGACATGTATGCATGAGATCGACCGTCGAGGTTAACATGGTGTACATATTCATTGTGTGCTTGTTATCGAGCGTGGCATGCATTGCGCCTGCCACGCCACCGCCACCTCAGACAACCGTACCAGATGCAGTTGTACACAATGAGACCCAGCGGCAGACCAGGAAATCTGCTCGCAGCTTCCAGGCATCGCTGCCCACTTCCACGTCAACATACTCGTACGAAGCAGCAGCAAAAAAGAAACAGAGTTACTCACCTCCAGATCAGCATCTCGGTAGCAGTCTCTATAGTGGTAACCACGCCTTTGTGTACAACACGTTCACTGACAAAGGGAAATATTCAATGTACTCTCCCCCGGCACATGCAACGACAGATATCGCCAACAAACAAGGAAAACTAAGCTCCAAGTACTCTTCTGTGACAGGTAGCTTGCCCTCAGCAGCGAAGATAGACAGACGCCAGGAGGATCGTGAAGGCATGATGCAGGATTACTTCACGCAAAACAGCGGCAGCCTTGCGCCCAATTCCAGGCATGGGTATGGGCATTATGACGACCACGGGGACTACGGTGGTCTCGGCGATGATGATGACTATGATGGTGGGAATCACTATTCACCGGAATTCTACTCTCATCACCATCACCATGGACATCATCACCATCATCCTATCCACCATTACCCCCCGCCTGCAATATACTATCCCGCCCATCACGAGAAGCACGAATACTCCAAGTTGGGCATACTGGCCGTTGTGAAGATTGTTTTAGCAAAGCTGAAGGCGCTGGGGCTAGTCAAAGTTATGCTTATACTGCTTGCAAAAATACCTCTGATCTTTCTTAAAATAGCTCTAAAATTCTTCTTCCTTTTCAAAGCTGTAAAATTATTTAAACTTTTGACATTTTCGGCGCTGTTTCCGTTAATTCTGATACCCTTAATTCCTCTTCTGTTATTGCCTTTATTGCTTCTTCCTTTGGCACCACTGTTGCTCATTCCTCTGTTGCTTCCGCTCCTTATCCCCCTGATCCTTCTGTTACCAGTCCCTGTGATGAACGGAGGAACCACGACCGGCAAAACGGCGTCATCAAGACGCAGAAGAGATGCGAATCCTGCAACCGGACGAGTGTGGAGGCAACTGGACGCAAGTCACGACTTTCTGGCTCTTACCCAGCGAGTGCTTGAATCTCAGCAATGCTTGGAGAGGCTGGCTTGCAAGATGGCCGCCAAACACGATTCTAGTACATATACCAATGTCGTTTTATGGTAAGTGACACGAATGTGTTCTTTGCCGTGAATCTATTAAATGTCTCTTGCATAGCATGATCCTCTCACAAGAAGCCCGAGACTTCCAGCAATTAACTAACTATTTAAAAGACTTAAAAATTAACGAGACAAATTTTTCTATACAAAACAGGGGTAAAAAGTAAAAGTAAAATTGTCCCGGTCCTTAAGTAATTAAGCACTACGCCATGAAGGCGTATTGGGGAGTAGATGTATAGATCCACGTTTTTCTTCACCTTGGAACTAGTGGGAGGTGAGTGGTCAGCTTCATGCCCCGGCCACTTTACCCCTGGGGAAAGAGTCCCCCGTACCCATTGGATTGGAGGCTGGGGGGGGGGGCATAGCCCATCTGGATGATGTGAAGAAGAGAAAATTCTTGACCCTACCTGGACTCGAACTGTGACCCCTTGGTTGCCCAGCCGATAGCAAGTCGCTATGCCGATACACAGGTATCATTCGAAATCTGTAGTGAATTTTCAGGACCTCTACCATAAGAATTCACCAACTGTTGCAGTGAAGGGTAGTTGATGTAATCCATGTTATGTATTCTAGGTTACTTGAGAAGTTCCGTGCTCTGGCGCCATCGAGGATACGTGATAGGCTGGGGTCATACATTGAAGCCTACAAGTGGGGTGCAAAGAGGCCTAAATCATGCCTCGAGAAGTTCACGTGTGACAAACCTAAGTTCATGATGGCACAGGCTGACACATACTATAATTTGCTGTGACGTGGGAACCTGTGTTTCACACAAGAACTAGCATACTCTGTGGTAAAGATGTTCGGCCTAGTTGCTCAGTCTAAATTAAAATTGGGTCAGAAGTGCAGAACCAAAAATGACAGCTTGTGGTCACATCTGCTACAAGCTCTGTGCTGTACTTGCAGTGGCTGTTGAAGGCATTTTGGTGCCAGTTAAAGGAACTGCAGGAGCTCAGGGAAAAGCCAAGTAAGACTAGTATAAAGTATTATTCTGATATGAGATTATTGTAAGATGACTTTGTGATCATGGTGACAAATCCAACGGCCTTCATATATCATTTTCAGATCTACCAAAGACAGTGACCCTGATCAGCAGGACTCACATCCTAAAATTTAGTGGTTGCAGTAACTTATTTTGTTTAATACTCCTTTCAGTTCCTTTTTATTTCACGAGAAAAATTACAAGAGTGTTTATGCATAGAGACTTTGATGTTCTAATAAGTGTAGGCTCTAACCAAATTCAGAAGAAAGGTGAGGTTTGGAAGGACTGTAACTCCCTTTCTACGGAAACCATTTACTTACTTACTACATTTCAATGAAAGTAATTATCACTGAACTTGCGTAATGTCTCTCACCTTGTTTTTATTTTGAAATTGGTTTGTATTTCACTGTATTTCGCCTGTTAAGTATTTCGTAGATTAGTCCACGTTTCTGGTACACATATTCATTCCTCAGTAATTATTTGACTTTATTTGTCTTAAACTGTCAACATTTGTGTTCCTGCCTTTAAACTTTCTACAGACATTGATTTTAATAAGTTTAGTAATGTCAGTCATACGTTACGTGTCTAGGGGCTTGAAGTGCATTTAATAAATTTACTTTTTGCAGTAGCTTTTGGTTCAGACTGTGAGTAAATTAAGGTGTAAAACACAATTTATGGTTGTCTTATATATTATTTATGTAATTTATTTGTCATCAAGTCTCAGTAAATTTTACTCTCATGGGTATATTGGAAATGTGAATACAGTTTATATCTTTCTTCTCTTATCAAACAGAATTAATTTATTTAGCTTTTGTATTCCCCATATCACACTCACATCTGGTCATGTATATAATTTGAAACTATTCATTTTGGCCGTAAGATGTGTGTTATATATTGGTATGTGGCACAATGCAGAACAAGTTTCAGTGTGTTAACAGCCAATTTTGGAAGCTAGCAGGTATGACAGAAGTATGTGTTCTTCACACTGTAAATAAACATCAGTATTTTTCATGCTTCTAACATTCTTGGCAACTTAAATTATACGTTAAAGGGGTAATGTAGTGCTTACAAGAATGATTAATCTTCCAATTTATATACCTTTACCAAAATCACAACAAACAGAGAAGTTCATACTTAAAACATATTTTGAAGAAGTTTTATGAACATATAAATTAGTATTTTTCTTAAAGTGACCAGTCATGGCATAGGTTAAGTTCATATTGTTATTATATCAGTAATTTATAGTTATTATTTATTGTTAAATTTATTTATATATTGGTATTTTTTATATGAATCTATCACACAAATAAATATGTTTGACTAATGTCTTTTTTTGTTCTCTCATCTTTGTATCATTCAAAGTTTTCCTAGCAGAATACGGGCAAGTAATTTAGTCCTTCTTATTGAAACTTATAATTCTTGTGCAGACAGATAGGTCATGAAATGCTTAATTGTAATGGCATTCAAAATATATTCTGAATAATAAAAATAGTTCAAATTTGTTAGTCTATGCAGACACGATTAGTATACTCTGTTTTTATATAGTGGAGAACAGTAGTGTCAGGCAGCTACAAAAACACTTTACTTACATTATAATAACGCAGTGAGATCTCATCATCTCAGTGTTGGTGGTCATATCATGAAGCAGTTGTCAGTCAGCCTATTCAACCTCAACATGTACGTCTTTATATCTGAAGAATGAATGAAATTTATTTTTTCAAATTTGCTGGTAAATTTACAGTGTTGTATTCGAGGTTCTCACAGTGGTGACTGTGAAGCGTCACCCGACTTTTCACTTCCATCTTCAGGGTAGAAGAATAATCTAAGCAACTAATTAGCAAAAGGCAAACAGACCAAGTCTATTATACGTGGCAAAGAATTAGTAGATTGTGTAAGAATACTGACATTAGGGTCTGCAACATTTATAGGACTCCCTTTTTTACACGTGTTTAGAATATTTATCAAACTGCTCAAATACTGTATGGAAAAACATTTTTATTTATGAAATAAGTACAGTATGTGTGTACAAAGCAAACGACATTTTCAAAATACTTGTGTATCTGCTTCACTGGAGTGGCAGTTTCAGTTTTTAAGTATTTGTTTACTTTCAGACAATATACCTCAGGTCTCTTCTTCTGCCCCTGTCTTCTGCATTGCCTCTCTGTGTAATGCGCCAAGCGGCTCTCTGGCTGATGCTGAAACTCTTACTTGTTTCAGTATCACATATTAAGACATATTCCACAGTTTAATTGTAACAACCCTGAATTAAAACGCTTTTTTTTTTTTTTGGTATTAGACCTGTCCCAGAATTGTGACACCTGCAGGAACTTTTATCAGTTAAATTCAAAACGCACCTCGAACTCTGAAACTTATTGATCTTTAGGCCCAGCCTTCAACACTGTCTATTTCTGCAGTCATTACTGTGAATGCAGTGAATACTCTCTGCCTGCAGTGTTCATGTAAAAATTGTAATTATGAATATCTTGCTGTATTACTGCATTATTTGTGCAATATTTTAGACACAAAACTGGGAACTAAATCCTACCTCTATATCTGTATTATAGCCGTTTATCACATCTCTGCAATTATAATTAATGGAAAGTAAAACTAAACTGTACCTGCCACTTTTTCAATAAAGAAGTCCAAAACCCATTAACCAAGAAAGAAGAGATTTAATTGGTATTTTTTTAATTTTAATTGTCTGTTTAAATAAAAAGGGTGCCAGTGTTATTGCTGCAGAATTGTATGTTAAATCTAATTATTATTATTGATAATTTTTCTTGTCACTGATCAGAACATAAAAGTTTGATGTGTCAAGGTAAGTGCCTCATGAGAGCTTTGGGGCTTGCAGCAGGTATCCTGTCACATAGCACAACCATAACCTGATGCTCAATCCAGACCTTAGAAGAGCGCTGCTTCAGATGAACACACCGCCACCCTCTTCAGGGTCAGAAAGTAAGACCAGCAAGAAGCAGGACACTGAGGATTGTACCAGTCAATTATTTTTTTTTGTGTAAATTCCAGAAGTCAAATAAAGGAAACTTATTGTTTGTTGGCGGGATGGAGGTGGGGTTGGTTAGTTGCTGCGCCAAGTTCAGGGAGTGCATATTAATGCAGCAGGATTCAGATAATTAGAAGGCAGGAAATGCCAGATCTTACCAGTGAAGATATTTAAAGCTAGAAACAGAACTATTGAATTTCTTGACTTTAAGCCTTGGGGTTTCATTGGCTGAGCATGTAGATATAGTAATGCAATGTGTGACGGTCACAAAATATATGCCAGATGTTATTTTTTTCAGTGGAACTTTTCCACAACACTGATTTTGCGCCTGCTTTAGAAATTTGAAACATTTCTCTTGGACATAATTATTTTCCTGTTTTACTTTTCAGTATGTTGTAATGATTGTGCTGCCTGCTGAGTGTCTGGAGGGCAGATTGGACCCTTTTGACATATGTACTGAGAAGAGCTTGGTGACTTCCCTGTACTGCCACTGTTTCTTTCTGCTCTAGTTTTTTCTCTTACTAATGTGCTATGAATAAAGGGTGAAAAAAAAACTGCCTTAAGTCTGGGCACCGAGTGTTCTAGCTTATGCTTGTGTTTACTGCTGGACCTGCTGGTGGCCTGTAGTTAAAGTGTCTCCCAGAGGGCCTGGAGCAGCTCGAAACATGAAACTGCAGTAGCAGATACTAAATTTTTGTAAGAGCAGAAAAGTGGGGTGATATAAGTGTAAAGGCAATGAAGCTAACATAGTTACCATTTGAATTTCTGCGGCATGTCTCTCCCAGTTTCTGGCAACATGAACCTACATGCTTACAGTCTGAAATACCTCCTTTCCTTCCTGCCCACTTCTCCCATGTCTTGCATTTTTGTTCAGTATGTGGAATAGACATGAAAAACTGAGATGAACTTACATCATATGGCAGTTATGAAAGTAGTAGGCTTTTCAAGTGATTATCTTAGACAATAGGGTAATACATGTTGAAGTGATTACCTAATTTGTATTCAGTTATTAATGCATATGAGTTCTGTGACAGTAGCTACATGTTCAGGCATTGAAAATCCTCATGAGACTGAATGTACACTCATTCAAATGAAGCTTTATGCTGTTATGTTGTAAACATTGGTCAGTATATTTACAATTACATATAATATTTTTACTGGCCCATAGAATTGTGAAAATATTAGAAAATAACGACAATGTAGTATACATAGTTGAAAGATTTTTAATTTTGCATTAGTTACTATTATGGTATTTGATTCAAATGACCATGATTGGTTTGAGGCATATTTGCCTCTCTCGAGAGTGTAACAACTTAATCATTACAACAGTTTAATTTGGGCGTCCTGTGGGTACCATTTTACATATAGTGTTAAATATACATGTTTTGAGTCCTGACCGTCACAGGCTTCAATGGTTTTCCTTGGTACTCCAAGCAAATGACTGAAGGGTAACATGAAACAGGACAAGACCGCCTTTGAAATTTTGACACGTTTCTGTGACATTCAGAACAGGTTACGTTACCATGTTACTGCTTAAAGGGTTGATTAATGTAATTGTTGTCCCCCAACTACAGTATGACCACAGTCCTCGAGTACTTTCTGTATATTCAGGGTGTAAAAAAATATGTTACAACGCTCTGTGTGTAGGGTTCAATGTGATCATATTTGTTAATACTCCCATGTCCAGAAACTCTTTGTTTACGTGCTAGGGCCTGTGAAACATGAAGTAGGACTCCCTTACATCATACCTCTGTTGCTTACTGATGACATTTACCTAACATTTCTCCAAGAGACCTTACCGGAGCTGCTGGAAGTGGTGCCTTTGGAAGTCCATTGTGAAATATGGTTCCAGCATGATGACGCCCCAGCACACTGCTCTAATGTCGTCAGTAAATATGTGGATGAAACTTTTGGCAACGAATGGATTGGACGTGGAGGCCCAATAACCTGCCCCCTCGCTGCTCCTACTTGACTTCACTGGATTTCTTTCTCTGGGGGTACATGCGAAGCCTGGTGTATGGGACTCCAGTGGAGACAGAACATCATCTTGAGCCAAGAAATGCAGTAGCAGCTGGAACCATCCGAGAAATGCCAGGAATCTTTCAAAGAGTTCAGCATAACATAGCCAGGTGGTGGAGAACATGCAATGAAGTCGACAGCCGCCGTTTTGAGCATCTTCTACGATGTAAAACAATGATAACATCCCCTAAATCTTATGCATCCTCTCAGAAATTGTTGTGACCCTTAGTGCCAAAAGGAAGAGTTTCCAGGCATGGATATATAAACAGAATTTGGTCAGATTGA